GGTGAAGCACTGGAACAGGTTACCTAGAGAGGTGGTGGAATCTCCATCCTGGGATGTTTATAAGACCTGGCTTGACAAACCCCTAACTAGAATGATCTAGTTGGGGATGGTCCTGCTTTGAGCAGGGGGTTGGACTAGATGACTTCCTGAGGTCCCTTCCAATCCTAATTTTCTATGATTCTATGCTCAGATCTTACATATTCCAGAAATTACATGACTGGGATCACTATATGTCCCGCTTGCTATTTGCCTACTGTGAGGTGTTGCAAGAATCCATAGGATTCTAGGGTTCTCCCCATTCAAACTCTTAAATGGGCAAAGGGTTCAAAAGCCTCTAGACTTAGTGAGGGATGAATGGGAGGGAAAGACTCTTTCCAAGGAAGAGTCAGTGGTAGAGTATGTCTTGCAATTCTGAGACAGACAGTAGTAGTTAACAGGAATAGCCAGAAAGCATTTAGCTGCTTAGGCCAAGCAGAAAGTCTGGAGTGACTGGAGGGCTAGGGCCCAAACTTAGGCTATGGGAGGTCAAGTGCTAGTCTTGATCCCAGAGAGACAGAACAAACCGTAGTGTGGGAGGAACTGTCTCATGTCAAACATAAGCTCTTAGATGTGATACACATGGTGGAGTTACGTAACTGCAACTACAACCGTTGTGTTTATCATGTAAATACAATGAAACCTTATTATTACCAGGCTGATGTAATCCTTATCCTTTGCTGAAGATATGGGAGGGGAGGCAAAAGATTGAGGTTGTGCGGGCCGGCTCCCGATCCCGTCCTTGCCGGGTGCGAGCCGGGCCCGTCTTTGTGCACGCAGGCTGTGGCCAGCAGCCTGGGCACGCAGGGCCGGAGAAAACCGCTGGGCGGTATGGTACGCAAGTGCTAGAATCAGTCACGGAGGCGTAATGGTTGATTGAAAAGATTATTTACTTACACCGAAGATGGTCGCGGTGTAGGCTGGACAGCTTTCCAGGCGCAGCTCCACTTGAATCCTCATTGGAGGACTCTGACAGACTCGGTTCTTTGACCCCGGAGTGGTTTAGGCTCCGCGGGTTCGGCAATTCTTTCCTCACGGAGTAGCTGAATCTCCGTGGGTTCTGTTCGGTTCCCAGGTCCCCCGGAGCTGTTAAGACTCCGTGGGTTCGAAAATTGGGTGTATAGGATAGGGATACGTCTAGGATTGCGATCGGCGATGGGGAGAGGCTAGAGGCCGTTCGGTAATTGGGCCCCCGGAGTTGTTAAGGCTCCGCGGGTTCGGTTCAGTAATTAAGCATCTATTGCCTTCTTAAGAGAGACGCGTTGGGTCCGAAGGAATTAGCAGCGCTTAGAGATCTTCACGCTCCTCTCCTCTCCTCTCCTCTCTCTCTGGCTTCCTCTCCGTCTCGGGTGGAAACCACCCAAGCTCTTTATACGGCTAGCAAGCCAATCGCTAGCCACCACGTGTGCATAATTTAGAACTGGCCAATAATGTGGCACGAATCTAAATACCAATGGCGGGAACTCCTCTGCACCGTGCATCACCATGATGCAAAAGAAATGCACCATGCAAAGAAGGCTACAAACTGGCGGGAAATACTCTTTTGCACGCAGGTTCTCCTATGGCAGCAGAACACTCCACCGTGCAAAGGAGCTGCAATTTAGCGGGAACATAATTTAGCGGTGCTGAAGCACACACAAACAAAAAACCACAACTTTGGGTTGTGACAGAGGTATGGAGTGGAAGGGCAAAGGGGTAGGTCATAGTACTGTGAGGAGGTGGTAATCTCCCTAGAACTAAGGGCCAGCCAAGGACAGCAGGTCAGAGAGATGCTTGCTGACTATGCACGCCTGTTCTCCAATAGGTCAAGGTGAGTTAAAAATGCCTATCACCAAATAAATGCAGGAAGCCATCTACTTTTATTCACCCTAGTTATGTGTATTCTGGGGGATCTAGGAAAGCCACTAGAAGAGGAGATCCACAAAATGTTGGACATAGGCATCTTTAAACAATCTCTAAGCCCATGATCTTTCTCAGTGGTATTGGTTCCAGAGCCAGATGTAGGGGGTGGGATCTGATTCTGTGCAGTTTACAGAAAATTGAGCTCATCATGGAGTTGGATATATACCCTATGCCCCAGATGGATGAGCTCCTCGATAGGATTGGGGGAGCAAAGTATATTTGCTGAATGTGGAGTACTGGCACATCCCTTTAGAGGAGTAGGCCCAAACGAAATTGGCCTTTGTGACTCCAAAGGGACTCTATGTGTTCCTTATTCTTCCCTTTGAGCTGAAGACTGCCCCTACAACCTTCGTTAGGCTGGTAGATCAGATGCTAAAAGAACTGGGTGATTTTGCAGTTGGATATATTGATATCATTATTGTCAGCCAAAAGTGGGAGAACTATCTAATACACCTAGCAAGGATCTAAGAGGAAGGCCTCCCTGTTAAGGGGGAGAAATGCCAGGTAGGAATGGCACAGGTGAAATACCTGGAACATTGGGTGGACAGGAAGGTTCCCCCCACAGGAAGGCACCTAGTGTCCCTGGACCTTTGATTAGACACCACATAATTTACAACTATGTACACTTTATTTACAAAAGGTTAAAAAAAGAAACTAATTAATATGCAACTGTTAAAACTGTCAGAATCTTATTCACACCCTCAGTCAATAACAGTGTACACAATGGCCTCAGCTGATATGTGTACACGGGCAGCCTGGACCAAATGTCTGGGAAGGCACAGCTGCTTCCATGCCCCTCCCGTGGGAAGCTTGGGCAGGTCCTTGATGTGAGGGTCTCACAAAGTGGCCCCAGGGGTTGCTGTGCAGCAGGCAGGTGCTCCCTCACTGCAATTCCTGTAAAATAGCCTACCCTGCCCAGATCCTCATCCCCTGACACACTGGGAGCAGGGTCTGGGCTGGAGCTCTGGCAATCCCCTGCCCACACCCGCACACCCCTGCTTGCCAGGCAGTCAAAGTTCATCCCCTCTCTTGGGTCTTAACTCTCTCTCACAGGAACCTTGCTTGGAGGGCTAACGTCTAGCTCTGCTCCCACCCAAAGCTCACGGGGAGCTGGATCAATCTCTCTCCAGTCCCTCTCCCTGCTAGTGCACCTCAAGTCATACAGGGGGTTGGAGAAGAGTCTTCCTTGCTGGGGGGTCTCCAGAGGGGCTGGGTGCAGCTCAGGCAAGGCTCACAGGGAAAAAGGAGCAAGAAATGCACTGCATTTGGGGTTTCTAACTCTCCAGTGCAGCCTGCACTTTCCTTAGACTCTGGCAGCTCTGAGGATGGGATACTGTGCCCATGCTCTCCTTCAGCCCCTGGGCTTCTCTCACAGCCCTCCCTTTCCCCAGAATGGCTCCTCCAAAGCAGGCTTCATCTGCCCTTAGCACATGATCTCTGGGGAGCCATGTTCCCCTTTCCAGAATGGCTGCCTCCAGAGAGGGCTTCATTTACCTGCAGCACATGGTCTCCCAGGAGCTGTGCTGCCCCACCTGCCTGCCTGAGTTCACCCTGGGACCTTGTTCTCTCAGGTAAGGTAATTTCATTGTTCGTTACACTTGTTTAGGTGCTTGAAGCAGGGTGACAAGGGAGTGTTGCAGCCTGTGGTTTACATAAGGAAAAAATGTTACTAAGGAAAAGAAATTAGGCAGTCCTGGGACTTACCACATAATTCATTCCTGAAAATGGCATCTTAAGTTGAAACGTTGTAACTCTGAACTGATTTTCCCTTAGGAAACAACTTTATAAATGGGGGATTGGTTCCTGAACCAAGGCCCGATACCCTATTTTCACTAAAAATACCCCCGAATTTTGTACTCGATCAATTACAGATGAGTAATATAGCTACATTAATGTATTTATATTGTAAATAGTAATCTTATGGATTTGGAAGGACTTCTTTGGGGTAACTTTGCTGGACTTTTTGAAGGGCTCTTGGTTGGACTTTTTGAAGGGGTCTTGGCTGGAGTCTTCTCCGGAGTCTTGGCTGCTGGTGTTGCAGGAGTCTTGTCTGCTTTCTTAAAGAAAGTGTCCAAGGAAGCTTGGACAGATGTTCTTCAGGGAGATGAGCGACGCAGGTAACTCTTTCACTGGCGTGGCATTGGATCAAGTGTTGTAAAGTCGAAACTGACATCAAAAAGTTGAAACGGTGTCAATTTCTAAACGTGGTAAGTCAAGGACTGCCTGTATGCCACAGTGAAAAAGGGGCTTTGCAATTGTTTGCGCCTTCAGGAAACTGCAACCATATCTGTACGGCCGACATTTTACAGTGTCTAGGGGCCATCAATTTCCTCACTGAAATGGTTAGAGCATGAAGGGACAGAAAGAATTCAAAGCTGATGGAGTCTGGTGTTGCAAGACTACGACCTGTATTGATACCGTAAAGGGAAAGCACAGCCAGGTTGCAGACGCTTTGTCAAGAAAGACTGTTTGAGAAATCACACGGCCTGGTGCGGCTGCAGAAAGACGCCTCTTGTGTTTGTGCTGGAGGGCACCTCTGATGGCTACCTGGTTGAACTGTTAGTATGTTGTGTGGGAGGTATGTTATTCGGATGGCTTGCGGTGGGGAAGGAGTTAACGGCTGGATGACAGAGGGGCTGGGGGCACCCTGCCCCCCGGACGGTGCTGGAAGGGCCTTTCCTGAAACCTCGGCCTCTTTCTAGGAGCTGGGGAGGAGGCGCTATAAGCCGGGGAGCCGGAGGCGCTGCGGCGGGGCGGGCTGGAGCCGCGGGGAACGGGCCGGCGGCACAGAGGCCGGGAGCTCGGGGAGGCTC